AGTGTTATCAAGTTCTTAAAACATATATTTGAATGGGATGTTTAAAATATGGTTTTAGCTTTCCAAATCATTCTTTCCTTCTGTCAACACATCTCCATTATCTAATTTAAAGCTGTTGAAAATTTGAAATTATTTTCAAACCAGAAAACTTCCGATTGAAAACTTTACTTGTGGTAGAATAGTATGGTTTTTTCAACAGCCAAACTATTGCTCTTTTCTATTACACTATGTTCTAAACCTTGGACTAATGAAAGAAGAACAAGTTTGTGACAAACGAGAAGTTCAGACACGTTACTTGAAATTGTTTGTTTCCAATTGCCAAGATATAAAAAAATTAATACTTCTCATGTTTGTTTGCCCAAAGGAGTTAGGTACCCTACACACTAGGCTGACAAAACTTGTTCTGCTCTGCCAAAAATCTCAACAAATTTTGTCTGCACCAAATTTGAAAATTGTATTATCATGTGCACACTTTCAAACAACTAAATATTTGATAACCAGTGTCAATGACATTGAAATTGAACACCTTTCTTTAGGTTTTGTTTGTGGGAAAGCTTATGTCTACATGCCAACAACAATTCTTTAGGGAAAGCATTGGCTCAGCATGATAATTGCTCATATATTATTCAATTTTTTTTTGTCATTCCTCATCTTCTCTTAAAGTGTGATCAAAAATCAGTTTAGTTGATTGGCAAGAAGAAAGCAGCTTTTCAAGAAAAAAAGTGCACGCTTACAATCAAAAATTTGCTTGATGCATCCGAGCTTTTAATGAGTTTTGACCAAAAGCAAGTGACACTTTCCCCACCAATGGGAAACATTTTGGAGTTGGGAGGTACAGTGTACAACATAACTCAACAAACCACCAGATGATTTTTTTTATTTCTTCTATGTATCAATAATATCAACAACTAGACTTAGGCCTAACTACTTGTTTGTGAACAAATTTTCTTAAAGCATTTCCTCCTTGCATCAACAGGCCTTATTTTCATTGGCTGAAAACCTAAATGAAAGTGAAATGCCTTTCATTTCATTTTGGAATTTGCTGACAAAACAAATATTTTATTTGAAAAAAGGGCTCACCTGAATAAGAGAAAAAGAGAGGATATTACAGCACCTGAACATGTTGGTAAGCATTTCATTGCAGGTGATCATGGAGGCTGTTAGATGGCTGTCAACTTCGACTGCTGTGAATCTGACAGAGAGGTTGAAAGTGTTGTAAAGACTATTGTGTTGAATTTTTTGCTACTTTGGAGCCAGCGAAGAAACATTACCACACTTTGTCAGCTGACGAGGGGCGAGAATTGATGTGCATTGATGACTGATCAGGTATCTGTGGCCTGAAAAAAGTCAAATGTGGCAACCCCTCAAACCTCCTTTGGATAGCTAAGTATATTGGCTGTGGCCCCATCAATGTGGTTTGTGTAGACCTTGGAAAGTACTACCTTTGTACTCTCTTCATATTCCCCCGTGTATTGATGCCAAGAAGACAGCTTTGAGCCAAGCTGTTATTCTGCTGAGCTGTTACTCTGCCTATTAGAGCTTTACTTGGAAGCTCAAAGTTACAATATCAAAATTTCAACCAACTGCTTATAAAATCCCTTGATGGAGAAGCTCAGAGCACGGAGATGGATTCATAAACCAAAGTTGGCAGACCACATGTACATTTTTCCTATCCCAGTAGATGAATCAGTCATCGCAGAGCAAAAGATTTAGTTATCAGAAATTACTGTTCCGTTACTAGTGCATCATTAGATTGAAATAGAGCTGACCTCCCCTGTTTGTAGTTGCGGTTACCAAGATAACCTCTGAAAACGGCAAGTATCAAGTTCCAGCCATGTTAGTTGATGCAAGTTGTTAACAGCAATGTGTCGCCAATTAATGGAGATCAATATTTTAACTTAAATTGAATACCTTTAATTTATTGGTCTAAATTTGTGAAAGATCACAATTGTCAAAGTCCAAAGTTGTTTGCATTTGAACATTGACTTTATTTCTGCTGAAAAACTAACCAAATGAGATTTATATTTTGTGTTCAGTTGAACAGTCCACTAAGTCAAGAAAGCATTCATTTAAATCACACAACAAACAACCTTAAACAAAAGTATGATTCTTTCTTATAAACCCTCCATGAAAACTTCTGGGGAACATGGAGTTTGAAATTTAGACTTGAATTTTTCCCCCAGATAAGCGCTTGGTAGAAAAAAACTGTAGTGAGTTTTGTCAAAGTGAAAAGTATCATTGGGAGAAAAATTATAAAACTTTGCAAATGTGGGGTCCACAGAAAGTATGTTTTAAATAGAGGCAATGTTTGTCCTACACAATATTTCAAATATAAATATAAATAAAAAATGCCTGCTTTTTTTACATGATGTCAATTTACGTCCAGCGATGTAAATTAATTGACTCAAATCTACAGTTTTCTGCTTGGTGATTTAAGCTTTATATGCCACACAGCTCTATATTTTCTTTCCCTGCTAGGGATTCCAAACATCAAGATCCAAAGGTTCAGCAGCATAAATAGGAAGGTTGGAGTCAAATCCAGCAATAACCTAATTACTGTTAATGCTGACAGGGACTTGTTTGTCAGGCTCCTCATCACATCCAGTCTGCCTGAAAGATGTGCTGAGCTTCGAACTATCTTCAATCCCATTATCACTCACTAAAGGAGGTCATAGAAAAGGTGTTTAAGAGCATGCTTTGCTCTCTTCTAGGGAAAGACATTCATGTAGTTCAGCAACTTACAGCATCAACAAATCCAAAGGTTGTTATTATCAATGGCATGGCAGTCCTACATATGATAAAATCTTGTGGAGCAGATACCTTTGGTGAACTCTTTGAAAATCTTCAGTACCTCACTCTTTTACAACAACAGTTTGCAAGCCCACGTGGTCTTTGACCAATACTCAAATCAGAGGTTCTGCCACTCCTGTACCAGTACAATGGCAAAAATGTATTTCCAATCCAAAAGAAAAGGTATGGCTTGAATGTTTTCCACCATTGATTTCTAGTTTCATTGCTGGTAATTGAACTTTCACTTTAGATCAATTTTTAACATGAATGCTACATTTTTGACACTAGTTAAACCAGTGCATTTTCCTGTCAGTTGCTCTCTGCACACTGTGAACTGATGTCTCTTTCACTCGATTCCCAGAAACGCATGTTCTGCAAGAATACACAGAAACATGAAATGCTTCCACCAATGACTGATTGTGTACTTCACCAACTGAAGCAATCAAACTACAAAGTGTTTGGAGTGGTGCTCTTGAAGCTATGCAGGATCTTGGATCACTGGAGGGTCATGGACAGACAAAGGATGAGGAGCTTCTTGTACCACTGACAATCATGAAAGCACAGACACCTGTAAGCCTTCTCAAGCTGATAAAATGCAAGTGCAAGATGTCTGGCTGCTGGCAAAACTGCTCTTGCAGCAACACAGGACTTGTTTGCACAGAAGGGTGCTTCTGCATGGCATAAGATGAAGCATGTGGGAACCCCTTTGGTCTGACCTGTGTTAGTGACTTAGAAGAAAGCAATGAAGAGAGTAGCTTTGGAGAGGAACTGTAAAATAGTTTGCAGATGAGGCATCCAGGTTTAAAAGGCTAGCTTTTTGTCCTTTAACTTTGGAGATAAGTCACTTTAAAGCTCAATAGATCAAAATAAGTTACAATATTGTGTTTTTTTACAGATGTACTGCTCTGAGGTAAAAGGTGGTGTAAATACCAGATTTGGAAAGATGACACAAGTATGATTTATTTTAAGGCAGGAGGGTGGATTTAGGTTCCTCAGAGGTCACATGCCTGGTCATGTGACAATTTTCAAAAGTTGAGCATGGCTTGCCTTGTGTCTTTAAGAGCTAGTAATATAATTGGAAGTTTTTTCCCCTAAAAACATAAGAAATGGCAGCAAACAGTGGATTACCTGAAGGTGCCTCTTTTTCATGGGGTGAGATGTGGACCCTACTAAACTGGCTTTGTATTGAATTTTTAGCTGTAACAGGTCATGTTTTATATATGTGGTTTACTCCAAGACATCATGTCTGTGTAATTGTTTTAACAATGAGTGACTTTGAACTCCAAAGATTAGCATACTATTCATGCTTCTTTTTACCAGCTCCTGACAACAGAAGTTGAATGCCTACCCATATGCAAACACTGAAAAAATTAAGTACCCAGTATCTCACATAGCAGGGTGGTGTACATGAAGTGCTTGCAGGTTACACAACCTCCCAAACCAGAAAGTCAAAGAAAAAATTACCGAAGCGCAGCATTTGTCTTTCCTTTCACTGTCTTTAAATGAAAAAAAAGTAAAGGTTGTAATCACTCCACAGTACAGTCCATCGCTTTTGTGTTATTTAGCAGTCGAGTATTTAGTATAAGGTGGCAAGGCCTTTGAATCAAGAAATATAAAATGGATTAAATAGCATGGATTAAATAGTATATCTATTCAAACATCACACATGCAAATATGTGTACAAATCTTAAGCACACAGTTTTAGTTTCAGCCCATTTTCACATCTATCAGCTGATCTCAGCTATCAGTAAAACAAACATGTAATTTCTCAGCTCACAGTTCGAATTTTGACCAATTCTCAGCTTTCTATTAAGCCCCAACCAGAGCCCTCACAGAGAATCAAAACATGCACTAGCCTTGTGCGCTTGTCATATGGAATGAATTTTGGGTTGCCACAATGACTCAGAAATGGCTTCAAGCCATTTTCTGAGTTAACACACAATCCAACTGAAGCACAGACTAGGTAAAAAATTTTTATGTCCTCCTAAGCAAAATAATGTGAGCAATGATTCCACCAAAATTCCATTGTCCCAACCAATACTTAGGACCAATTCAGACAAAGCCAAAAGGATTTGAGGTGGAATTCTGTCTCCTTACACTTTTGAACGGATTTATCAGTTTTGCATAACTGACCCTGATAACAGGAGTCAAACTGTAAATAAAGTAAATTAAGAACTAGGAAGTTACATGTTAGGTTAAAATGTACTTACAGTGAACTACAATTGTTGTATCAATGGCAGTGACTTCCACTGAGTTATTGGCTTGACATGTATATTGTCCTGCATCCATTCTGTTCATATTATTGAACTTTAAAAGCGCAGCTTTATTCCCTGAACTTGCCAGTACTCCATTTCTAATCCATGCTACATCTGGCAGTGGTTCCCCAGAAGCTTCACAGGCTATGGTGACATTGGATCCTTCAATGTAATATTCTCTCCCTGAAGAGAGGGTTATTTTTGGTCCCACTAAAAGGTAAAAGAGATTATATCATCTCTCAAATGGCATAACATATCTTACTTGGACTGAGTCTTAAAATTAACCCAATTACAATAAAATGAACATAACTATCCAGCAATTGGTCCCCAAAAACCAACTTGTACAAGGAGACTCAAACTTTATTCAGTACAAATAACCTGTTAGCACTTAAGCTACTAGAGAACTTGCTCACAAGCTAAACTGTAAAATGGGACCTCTGCTTAGGGAAAGAAGGGCCCATTCAGGAAGTCACTCATTGGGCTAAGTGCCCTGGGTTCTAAGCTACTACCATTTTTTTTTTGGATAAAATTTTTGCTGCTGCACAAACAAAAAAATAGGAACAGAGCCAATCAAGCCACACCTCACTTGGAACTTAGCCTGACAAAGGATCTACTGAAGGCATCCTTAGCCAGAGAACTGAAATTTTGATGAAAGAGAAATTGTGGATTCTTTGGGATAAAAAGCATACACCAGTGGCATGCTGAATGCTGCTTACCATTACTTAAACTTAAAAGGAGAACTTACTCATCTCCTTGTACTGATTGTTCTTTTATCAAACATTAGATAATTTGATTGTTTATCATGATTGTGCTGCAAAGGGAGTTTGCAGAGAGGAGAGTTTCTGACATTTCCCCTGCATTTTGAAGAATTATACCCACAAATAAAACATTCTTAAGCCCAAGTCAAATGCAAAGAGAAAGGACTAATTTTCTGTATTAAGAATGGACTGTATGGAGACCACAGCTGACAATTTGTTCTAAAACTAAAATTATTAAACATTTTGCTACTTCCCAACAGAGGTTATCACTTAGCAAATTAAACACATCCTCAATATGTCACAGGCATTATATTCAGGAGATGAAAGTAATTTTTTTTCCAATAGCCACTTGGCTCCTAAATTTTTCAAAGTGGTAGCCAATTCAAAAAAAGTTGGTCACCATTTTAAAGACACACACAACCCTTTTTTTATGCTGTCAGCTTTCTAGATAGACCCTCCAAAGTTAAGTTAGGAAAAAGATCTTCAACATGCTGCAAATTGGACACTGGGATGGATGATACACAACGTTCAAGTTCACCTTAATCCAAGATGGTGTCTAGTTATCGATCGAGATCTATTTGCTGCATTTTGGAAACAAACTTAACAAGGAAGTTTGCTGTGGATTTATCTTTGCAAATCTTTAAATTCACTTTATCTCTTGGGAAGGTCATGATGAAGCATTCTAGTCGCCAATTTGGCGACTAGTTTTCAGGATTTGGTCGCCAAAGTGACAATTTAGTTGCATTGGTGCCTGTATATTTACAATGAAGCAGCCTCATTCCATCAGAGGTCTACAAACACATGTTACCCCCCTAAAGAGGAGAGTTGCATTTCAATACAATTGTGAATCAGTGTTTCCAAAACATATGACAGGATACCGGTAATTTGAATCAGTCCTATGTGAAATTAGCCATAGCCAATATGAGGCAAACAGAGGCACTTGCTAGCAAATAAATGAACCCCCCCCCCCAAAAAAAAACAAAACAAAACAAAACAAAAACAATAAAATTTTCATTACAACATGGTCCAGTCTTAGTTTTGGTGAAAACACAAAACAGGCAGTTTTCACAATATTGGGTTAGGAATACATGAGAGCAAAAAGGCTGCTTGAATTCATGCTAAGAAGTTCCTAGTAGTAATTGAAACAAGATTTGAGCATGTTTGACATTAGCACAGAAACTGTCTTCTAGACCGTCAAGAGATGCTGATGTTAATCAAGAAACTACAGGAGATGGTGGGACAGGAGTTATAGAGGTAGAAAGTGGAGAGGCCACACCAAAAATACTACTTGATTCATCTTTGTACCAGAAGTAATATTCTTGTTGCAAACTAAAGGTTTGAGTAAGAAATGCAAAGCCAGAGTAGCTAGGAGACTATTGGTAAGAGGAGCAAAATCTAACTTAATGACAGGAGAAAAAAACTTGATTTTCAGTAGCACTTAGACCTATACTATGTGCAAGTGTTAAAGGTCAAGGAAGCTGTATGTAGATTCCTTGAGAATGGAGTAGCTTGCTCAAAAAGTTCTTAGATCTAAAGGAGGTTAAAAATGTTTCCATATTAAAATATTTCCATTTCCCCCCAACTATATTAGGCCCTATTAAACTTTGTTCAGATTTTAAGAGCCAGCAATTAGGAGAGCTTCCAACTGCAGTTGTAACATAGATATCATTTGTGTAAGTGTATACAAAGTTGATCTACAGTTACTTAACAATACTAGAGTTTTAGTGGTTCCAGTATAGTTTGGCATCCAGTTAACAATATTACAAAATCTTACAAGGAGTTATGGAATAAACCAAATTTTGAAGAAATCATTGTGATACCAAGGCTTATTCGGAAGAATAGTGTGGTCAATTGTGTAAAAAACTGCAGATAAGTCTAACAACACTAGAACAGCTTCACATTTGTTGTCAATGGCCTGATGTATATCATTAACTTGTAGAAGGGCAGTTTCAATACTGTGATGCTTTCTGTATGCTGATTGCATTTTAGCAAATAAGCCATTAGTGGTGAGATATCCTTCAGTCTGGAAAGCCACTATTCTCTTAAATACCTTAGCGAGAAATGATAGATTGGAGATAGGTTGATAGTTAGTAAAGACATCAGCATCAAGGTTGTCCTTTGTTATCAGAGGGCAAATTGGTGACTTCTTGAAGAAAGAGGGGAAAATGCCCTGATCCAAAGACGCGTTCATGACATCACAGTCCTTTAACAACCAAGTAGGTAATGGATCGAGAGCACAACTTTTACTTTTTGATGACTGAATGATAGTCTTAAGACCATTAGGAGAGACATGATCAAACTGACTGAAAGGGGTAGAGTACAATACACTAGTCACATGTTTAGGCTGAGAAGGTTTCTTAGAGAGAGAATGTCTGATATCAACGATTTTAGATTTGAAGAAGTCGCCAAAACTCTCAACCAGGTGTTCAAGAGAGTCATGTTAATAGAGGTGGAGAAGACTTTCCAGTGAACATACCATCAACGAGCTTGAAAAGCTGCTTCACATTAGATGTTCTAAATTTCTCCTTCAAGTGACCTCAAACAAGTGATTATAATTGCAGCAGGCTTGATAGTAAATTTGCATGTCAATTGATGACTTAGTGAATTGAAATTTTCCTTCATAGCACCTTTTAACATGTTTTAGTTCTTGAAGATATTCTGAGGACCTACGTGCATGTGGCCTAAGGGTTTGTTGTGGGGTGTACTTGTCAAGTAGAAGATGCAATGTGTTATCATAAGTAGTTATCACGTCGTCCAAGTCGTCAACTGATTCCTTATAGAAGACACAGCAGATGTCCTTCTGAAAAGCATAAAAGTCAATGTCCCGAGTCTTCCAATGCACAACAGTTATACAGGTGGCAGGAGACTGCAGTAAATCTATGACCCACACAACCACTTGATGGCCAGAGAGGAGATCTGGTAAAATTCTTGTGCAAAAATTAGAGTATCCATCTCACAAGTGATGAGAAGATCTAAAGTATGTCCCAGACAATGGGTAGGGCCATATTGACATGCTGTTTCAGATCAGCAGAAAAAAGAAAGTCAGAGAATTGTTTGGCTTTGCATTTAAATTGTCATTGGCGTGAAAGTTGAAATCACCAAAAGAGTTAGAATTTACAGGGTGTAACAGTAAACTCCTCTAGGAATGTAGAGAATTCTGAGTAAAACCTCTCTACTGTAAAGCCATTTTTCTAGGATGGTGGAGGTTGATATACTGTAACAAGACAAAAAACCTTGTTACCAGAGGTGAGAGTCAAATCAAAATGTTTGAACACAGAAAAAATACAGCTTCCATTTTGCAAAACATGAAGCCCTTCGTGTGCAATAACAGCAAATCTAACCTACATCAAATCAGAATGTATGGATGTTCATGCCAACCCTGGACCTCCAAAGCCTCAGACTGACTCCAGTAACTTGGTCAATTTACAGCTGCAAAGCCCACACAATGAGGACTGCCCCCATTTGTCATCATTTGCGGCTTGCAAGGTTTATAGCCGACAAGAATTATTTGCTCTTTGTTCCCAAAAGTATCATGACCAGGAATTCAGGACTTGTCTCAGGAGACTTAATGCAAACGGGCTTCTAAGAAATGATCTTTTAATGAGGATGCTCCACTCATACAAACATGATTTTTGGGGAGGTCCTAGCTAAATGTCAAAAATATAAATAAATAATGAGAATATCTAATATTATATATAAAAGATTGTAAAATATAACAAAGGTATCTGCAAAATAGAAAAATATAATGCTAAGAAAAAATCTTAACAATTGAATTCTTAAAGGCAGTGAGGTTGTCAGTGTTTCTGGTTTCCAAGTCCATGGTGTTCCAGTCCTTTCCACAGTGTGGGACAGTTTTGGAAAAACCCCAGTTGGTCTTTAATAATTCAAATGCAAGGTTTTGTTTGTTTCTAGTATTGTAATCACGTCTATTTTTAAATTATTTAAAACCAAAATCAAACTCAATGAGGTTGTTCAGAAAATACATTCGTCAATAGTTCGTCGATAGTTCTCTTTTTGACTAAAGTTAACCAGTTGAGATCTTTCAAAGCTTGTGTAGCAGAATCCTCTAAGTCTCTGCCAAGGATTATCTTCGCAGCTCTATTTTAAAGTATTTGAAGAGTGTCCATGTGAACTGTATTTCTTTTGTCTCCCCACACAATACTACTGTATTGAAAAATGGGCTTGATCATGGTATTATAGAAAGTTAGTCTTGCAGATAGAGGTAGCATGTATTTAATTCTAGATTAAATTGATATTCATTTACATATTTTGGAGGCAATGTTTGAGACGTGATCTTCCTAAGACAGACGCTGATTCAGTATGAACCCAAGATATTTGTAACAATCCACACGTTCAAGATCTTCACCACTTATAGATAACGACAGAGAAGAGAAATCTCCAAGATGTGAAGAGTGGCCAAGTAACATAAATTTACACTTTGACACTTTGATAAGGTGGTGCTTGGTGTTCCCGAGGAGAGTGGCCTTATGCCAGTCAAAGACCAATTCCATGTAGAATAACTTGTAGCGAACTTGGTAAACAACCCTGAACAAGCAGTATAGCCATCTGCGAATTTGATAAACCAGGGAGAGCGGTGAATTATAGCATCTTAAGGAAGGTCAAACATCAGAAATCTTATGATATACCTGTTATCCTGTCAACAAATGTGAGAGCATTAACGAACAAGGTGGATGAGATTCAACAAATCCTTGAGCTCAACTCTGCAAGTGCTATTTGCATTAGTGAAACTTGGCTGTCGCCTAATGTGTCAGATTCTTGAGGCGCTATCCCTGGTTACAATCTATTTTGCAAGGATCGAATTACTACAGGAGGAGGAGTATGTATTAATTTAGATCAAAAAGTGCCATGTAAATTCCTAGAATCTTGTAATCAAGACGAAGTCAAATCAATTTGGATATCAATGAGGCCACATAGTCTACCAAGACAAATTACATCAATTGTGTTAGGTGTGATATACCACTCTACTAGTAACCATGAACCTGAGAATGTGATTTTGCGGCAACATATTCAAAGAAATCTTGACATGCTATTATCTGACCAGCCAAATGCCCTGGTTATAATTACCGGTGACTTTAATCATCACACAACAGGATTAAAGTCAAAAGATATATCTAAAGCCAACCATCTTAAGCAACTTTTTTTAAAGTATTAAATTTTTTAACAAATGTGATGCATGTTCTGGTGTGGTGTGTATAATTTGTACTTAACATATACAGAAATGTACATAGTTGTTCTTATTAAGTTCTCATTGTATTATAACTTGTTAATTCAGTAAGTTACTGCAAGAAAGTTTAATAAACTGTTATTATTATTATTGTGTTATTGTAAATTCATATCCTCTGAGAGTGGATCTTGGCAAGTGATAAACAGCATGATCTTTAAGTGAATTTATAAGGTTGGCAATGGTAATACTATTGTTCAAGGTAAGCCACGATTCAGTCACAGATAGAAGGTCAAGATGAGATAACAAAAGATTACAAAGTGACAATACTTTGGTATTCAGTGAGCGAGCATTCCGAACACCAAAATGGAGTGGTGGATTGCAGCATGCCCAAGCTGATATCAGTGGAATATGAACAAGATTTTTGTCATTTCTCAAGTGAAATGCAAATTGGTGATGACGAGGTGTCATGGTGGGTTGAATATTATGTTGCTTCACGTGGCTGACCATTCTTCCACTCTGGCATCCATGATAGGGCCACTTCCATTTGGATCTTGAAGATGAAGAAGTTGGTCCAGGATTTAGTTAAACATCCATATGGACAGTTATGTCAATTGCAACAGGGAGAGAAAAACAAAGATGTCCCTGCTTTGTCCATAAGGACACTGCCTGCAATACAAACAGCTTTTGCTTCAAGCGAAGGAAACTGCTCTGGTGAACTCTTAAAGTCGCTTCCTACAAGTGAGAAACTTTGTAAAGACAAGAAAAGTTGACTAAAATAGATGCTAACATAAAAAGCACAAGAAATACTATGCAAAAATAATTAGCATAAATACACATTGCAGCCATTGTTTGGCACATACATAATTTGTTAATGCAGTAAACAGTGAGTTTGGATTCTTCACAACAAGTGAATAACAGCATCTGCTATGGACAGCATTCCTACCTGGCCATGTTGATTATCATCTAATTATTTTCTGTTTGCCTGCTTAGCATCTTTTAAAGAGCATAAAGAGCTTGGATTATAGACTTTGTTGCTTTAATGCTTTCATAACTATTAGAAAATTTTGCTCCATGGCTCAAATCTTCTTAGTCTTGACTTGCCCCTTAGTGTACGAAATTACTTGAGGAAGTCACCATTCTGTTGACTAAATTTACATCTGCAAACCTTGAACATCATAATTCTCATAAAGCAATGAACAACACAATGCTAACTTCCATTCCCTTTGGCAAGTCCCTTTAATTAACAGGCATGAAAAGCTACATGCTGCCTGTGATTGGTCATGCAATATTTACCTTCACTGATTTTGCAGAATCATGTGACCAGTTGCATTTTTTCTAATTAAGACTGACCATTTGTAATTAACAGCTTGGCCAAGAGAAAATCTCAGTTCTCATATAAATAATAGTTATCTATGCATAACAGAGTAAGCCAAGCAAAGGAAGCAAAGTTTCCAAAAGTCATGTTAGCTAGCCACTTTTAGTCCTGTATATAAAGGGTTGTGCATATTCATGCTATTGTTTACTTTCTCCAGATCTCAGAAATATGAGAGACATGAGTTGATTGCATTTGATCTATGTTTGAATATTAATGGTGTTGTCTGTATTATGTACCTGTCACAATAAGCTTCACTGTACTTTGAAATGTGTTAATAAAGCTTCCAATGAGTTCACAGTTAAATTTGGTATTGTCTCCAGGGTTGATGTTCTTGATAACCAGGGTAGCTCTTCCTTCAATTTTAAGTCTTCCTTTGTAAGATGGAGGAATGTTTGGATTTTCTTGGACACCATGACTGTTCTTAACTATCATTTTCTTCAATTCACCATCCACCTCAACTTTATAGAGAATATCCTGAACCTCATTAAGTGGATCAGTGTAGTTCCACACCAGGTTGGCATCACTACCATTGTTAAAGTAGCTTGGATTAGAAGGTTCCTGAGTGAAACGCACATTTACACCCCCTAAAATAGACAACCATAAACATAATATTATCAGCCCTTTAGTTACATGTGTAAGAACAATATTTAGGAAAAAGGGCTTAAATAGAGACCACCACAGAGACACTTTTAGTGTAAGCAGTAACAACAATAAGTGTAAATAGGTACTAGATTGATATTCACTGGTATCAATCAGCTTGAAATATACTTTCATTTGCTAAGAAATAAGGTCCAATAACAGTAATTTGTAACTGTTTGCGTCTTATTAAAATCATATTTGACAAGTTCCACTTTCTTTAATTTCTGAAATATGTACCATGGTGAATTTCCAAAATTTAAAAGTGGTACAAGAGCTTGTTGAAGTGGAAAATGGAAAGGGGAAATATCCACATATATTATATGTTAAACCACCAACTGAGGGATTTATTTTTCCACTCATTTCATTTTCTGGTCTTTTGGCTTCTAGTTTTTTAAATTTGTATGGTCAAGTATCTGAGCATCCTGCCTATCACTTAAGATGTGCATGACAGAAGAAAACAAAAGAAAAGAAACCATTTAAGTGTTCTTGATGACCAGAACAAAATTCTCATGGGCGTTAAAGTTCCCTGCTGAAACTTTCATGTCAAAAAATTGGAAAAGAAATCAAAGTTCACATCCATCACTTGTCTGTATTCTTGCCCCATTCTACAGTGTACTACCAAAGCATATTTGTGATTACGGCAAGATATGATGCAATCCTTGACCAATCAGAGCATGTGCATCTCTATGATCAACTGAGCAATTATACCAGTGGTATTTAATCATTCAAGTCATCACATAACACAAGTTAAAACAACAGCTGCACAAACAACAATATAATCAATCAACATCACAGTGAAAAAAAGAAATTTTTTCTATTGTTTATAACCTTAATAGTAAGGAGGTCAAATATTTGCCACTCAAGCTTTGAATATCTTTGACCTCATTTCTATGATCAATAAGCTGAGTTCTACTTTCATTTTGATTGGTCCTTTCAAGTACTTATGATATATTGCAGAACAAATGCATGGGTGATGTCACCATTAACAATTTTTTGCTTCTTCATTAAATAAAACAAATAGATTGCATGTTGCTGTGGCTCTGCACAACTAGAAATCACAGAGGACATCAAAATGTCATAACATCAGTGACACGTTCAATCACAACTTTTTCTGTTTCATATAGTGAATAGTGCATTGATGTTGTGCCATTTGCTTTTTTTTAATAACTGACAACTGGAATAAACGAGCCAGTGTCAACTGTTTTATTCTGATGGTGTTTATTCAATCAGAAGGTTGACTGAATCAACAATAATTTTAGCAAAAACATTCTACTTCCTTTGTTAAATATGAATGTAAGAAATAACAGTGTTCTCCTAATGAGCAAGGAACAAGCAAGTTTTTTTCTATACAATGAATGGATAAAAATGGTACAAGAAAACTAACCATGAAGTAATTTGAGGAATTGTGGGCTGTGTGTGTTTTAGATACAAAAAATTAATTATTTACTTCTGTTGCAATTATCCTGAGGTTATTCTTTGGACCAACAATGAGTGGAAAAATTGGTCACAGCTTTTCCCAGTAATGAGTGATCGATATATTACAGACAAAATGCTAGTTTGTAATGGAAAGCAGACGAAGCATTTGGAAACTCACACTGATCAAGAAAATAGCGCACTTTTCAATTTCAATTTTGATGTTAAATTCTAAACGTATGGTATTGTTACACTTGAAGCATAAAAATCCTTTGCTCTTGATTTCTATCGCATCATAGTTATTCAGATTTCATTTCTCACGTGATTGAAATCCACAAATTATATTTTAATTTTTAAATACAAAAACTGTTGAAAGCCACCTTAGAGTTCGGAAATCGTTTTGACGAACATCACGTTCAGAATAAAGGATCGGCGTTTACGTATGTCTAAGCTGCAAATGAGACATGGTAAAACACACTGTAAAATCCCTTAAACGGGACAATAAATTTCACACTTACCTGACCCGTGAAACTTTACCAGCAGAACAAAGAGTAAGTAAATTTCATAATCACGGAGAGACATTTTCTTGTCAGATCCTAGCTGACGCGGAAGGCGTTCGTCGAGGGTCGAACACACAAGTTAATAGTACAGCGGTTAAAATTTCAATTAATTCATGTAAGCTTCAGCACTTGTTCCCCACGAAAAGTTCAGACCAGAGATATACAAGATCGTCCTGAACAAAAAAGCCTTGAGGTCCTGCGGCAGTTTCTTGATTTTGTTTTAGTATTTTGAGGCCGTCATCAAATTACTACTAGGATATATTCCTTTTGAACAATTTCCACGAGATTTTTAACTGTAAGCTAAATGCGATTACAATTTTTTTTTTATAACGAGCACATAAAGTAGCATTACACCGTTACTATTTTCTTCCTGTATCAATCATTAGGAGAAGAAGAAATATTAATAAATGTGTGATCGCGTAGTTTATAGCGATTCCCGAAATCCTAGATTCATGAAAACAAGCCATCAAACTACACTTTTCTGTTTCTGTTTACTCACATGTGGCTCACAGATAAAGATATACAAAAAACTAATGAAAACGTTTTCAGAATGTTTGAGCTATTTACTGGGTTATCTATGCGCCAATAAGCCTAACAGTAACGTTTGAATTTTAGACGGTAACGTCGTCTCTTAAAAAGTAAATTATGAGAGAGATTCTCCTTGCGGCGTTGAGTCCGTTGAGAGAAGTTCAATGTTTTTTACTTAAGTAATACGAAAAATTTGTCAACATTGAAACGTCAATGATTCGTGAAATAACGAACGGGAATTTCAGGAATTGTACACACCCTACGTTTATGGGGAATTCTGAAGTAAATGGATGTAAATGACCTTCCCGATTTTGTTTCCTCAGTACGCGAAAAGTTCGATGGACTCCTCTACTAAAATACCTAAAAAAATTAAAACAGTTTCGCGGGTCATGAAAAAATCGAATACTACTGGTGCGTTTTATTATATTTCAAACTAAGTTTTCAAAAGGGATTCTCACCTTTGTTGGTCCGTGGAGGCAATGCCGAGTTTCTTTGCTTACGATGGTAAACGGTTTGCCGAAAAATTGGATCGGTACATTACCACCACTGTGTTCAAAGACGGAAGACGCTGCAAATGCATAATTTGAAAAAGTATTTCGGTATACTAGATTACGCACTTAGAGTGTTTTCCAAGGGCTTTCCTTTATATGAAATTCTTTTAAATATTTCAACACTCTATCAAGTCTCTACAAGGCCCACATCCAATTGATAAAGGCAAAAAAATCAGTTGAAAATAAAAGAAACTGCCTACCATTTTTCGAAATTAAACCTCTTGTGATTCAACTCCTTTGAGTGCAAGGCCTTCTTTACAAAGCATGTGGAACTAATAAGAAGAACCTCTAGCTCGAGCATATCCTCGAACTTGTCTCTTTTCCCATCGAAATAACCCAAGAAGTACCGGTTTGGAAGAGAACAATTTTCAAGATTTTCCTCAAGGAAGTCAATCTCTGATTTATTTAAAGAAGATTGATTAATCGCCGTCATTACGCATTCTAGTGTCTTAATCAAAAATTGCCTTTAGTTTTTAAGATTTAATCCTTTCATTATTCATATTATTCAGCTTTCAGGTCGAAAGATACGACGAATTTTTGTGGTATTCCAACGTGATTTGACGACGCGTGATAACCAATACTTACACTTGCCGATACTTCATAAACAACACGTTTGCCTGCCGATACTCCATAATTTGGAAGTACATAAGCCTCGTATGAGGAAAACTTACTTGCATCTTTACTTAACTGAGCCTCTTCTTCTTCTTCTCTTCTTCGGCCCCGTTGTGTGGAATGATTGAGCCTCTTTGGAGGAATATTGAGCTCCATTGTGGGATAATTGAGCGACTTCGGAGGAATATTGAGCACGTAAGCTTTAAGAGAAAACATAATATTCTTTTCTATAATGGGAATATTGAGTCCGTTTACGGAATAAACAAATCCTATTTGGAAAATCAAAACCCTAAATTACAAGGAGAAAGTGCTTGTCAAACTACTATACGTAAATCTCTTAGTGATCGAGAAACTATCGATATGAAAGCTGCGGTAAATCATTACGAAAATTCTTGTGAAATAATTATTCCAGGTAACTGTGATATGTTAGATGTGAATTATGACTATAGTTTAAATGAGCGATCAATTACTGTGTACAGACTGACTGTCGGAAAACATTGTAAACAGTCGAAAATCAATGGACACTTGCATTGTAGAGACAGAGATCCATTCAGAATTCCTGTCAAAAAAGTTATCCAAACCATGAGAAAAAGAAAACTTTGACAAAAATTTGAAAGGATTCTTAGAAAATCAACTCTGACATCATCTAAATTATTTCATTTATTAACTAATTATAAGTTATGGTACACTGACTATACACATGGGAACTTGCATTCTTTTTACACTGCTTATTTCCAATCTCAGTTGTGGCATGCACGCAAGAATTATTGGAAAAACATTAAAAGTAAGCAATATTCTGTGTCTGATATGAAGGTTTTGCTCTCTGGGGATATTGAAACGAACCCCGGTCCTATAGAAAATGTTGTTAGTAACTCCATCAGTTTTTTGCCACAAAACAGTATGTTATTAGCAACAAGATTATAGACATGGACTAAGACCACTAGATATTTGTGAAGGTGGTGATTGTTTTTTTTGAGCTGTTGCACATCAATTATATGGTGATCCTAAATTTCATTTGAATATTAGGGCTCTAGGTGTTCAATATCCAAGAGAACATCCTGAGAGGTTTATTGAAAGCAATAGTGAGAATTCCTGGTTTGAATATCTTACAAATATGACACAGCAACGTACATGATATGATAATCTCATTATTCAAGCCCTCACTGACAAACTTAATATTAGAATTCATATTACAGAATCTAATCCACTTTTTGTAGCATTCAACGTTATTAAGCCAGTGCATTTTACTACGGATATTCGAACTATTTATTTAGGTCACATAGATGAACTACACTGTTTCAACAGTACCATTCAACTTTGTACCAATGCCAATGGTCAATAACACAGTTTTGGTGATGTCTGAAACTAACTCTACTCTATCAAAAGAGAACAACTCAAAGAGAAAGAACAATGCATATATAGGAGAATATAGGAAAAAAAGAAAAACTGATAAAGACAAGGAGAAAAGTAATGCATATATGAGAGAATATAGAAATATATGAAAAGAGACAAAATTACAATGCTTACATGAGAGAATATAGAGCTAGTAAACCATCTGAACAAAATAACTATTTGCCTCAAGTTAATGATGTGATACCAAAGTTTCACAGAATTGTAAGCAATGGACTAGTTTATGTATGTAGCTGCTTTTACCAATTGTGGTATAGGCATAGTGCGTTTTCTACTGCTAAACTTAGAGAAAGAGGTCCAAATGTAGATAAGTATTAACTCAACTAAACAAGGGTTGACAATATTGAATGGGTGTGTATGTCATGCATTAATATTTATCTAAGAATAAAGTTCTACATTGTGCTGTAGTCAATGGCATGCAGTTTCAACGGAAACCAGCATTTTAAGTGAGTTATCTACACCTACTACAGCTAATATTGAACAACTTCTATTAAATAAAGTACCAGATGATGAATACCGACACATTTTCCTGATGCTAAATAAGGAACAAAAGGAGTTCTTCTACCATATGCTGCCCGTTTTAGGAAAGATTTCTCTTAGGTTTTTGCTTATTCGTTAGTACTGCAGTACTAACAGTGTTCACCAATACTACAGTACTAACGGTGTTCACCAGTACTACAGTACTAACAGTACGTATGAAAACTGTGTCACTAGCATACTAACTCCACTTCTCCGATAACCATGAATGACCGGCGTCGTTATGTACTAGCGTTCGATTAAAGGACTGCATGTCTCTTGTGTACCAACGTACTAGCGTACTAACTCCACTTCTCCGACAACCATGAATGACGTGCGTCCTTGTGTACAAGCGTTCGATCAGAGGACTGTATGTCACTAGCGTACCAACGTACTAGCGTACTAAATACACTTCTCGAACAAGCATGAATGACTTACGTACCAACGTACTAGGGTTCGATTAAAAGACTGTATGTCTCTTGTGTACCAACGCACTAGCGTACTAACATCACCTCTCGAAGTATCACGAATAACTTGCGTACTAACGTACAAGCGTTCGGTCAGAGGACTGCATGTCACTAGCGTACCAATGTACTAGCGTACTAACTACACTTCTCGAACAAGCACGAATGACTTGTTTACCAACGTACTAGGGTTCGATTGAAAGACTGCATGTCTCTTGTGTACCAACGTACTAACATCACCTCTCGAAGTATCACGAATAACTTGGGTATTAACGTACTAGCGTTCTATTAAAGGACTGGAACCTAGCAGACTCGCGTAAGGCAGTCTGGTACAAAGTTTACTCTTTTTTTAATGCGGTATTGCGGCGAAGAACAACTCGCATTGCGGTGTTGCCCAAACCGACTGTTTTCGGTGAAATAAAACATTTCCTAGTTGCAGTCTATTCCCTAACCCTTTTAAAAACTAGATTTGGATAAAACCGTGTTCAATTCTCCAACAAAATAAGCAATAAATCCGAGTTAATCTTAAATAAACATAAGGTGACTGACCCCTGACCGAATTCGGTAATATTTTACTTGACCCCTGGACCTCTACCACAAGCACTGTCGGCCAGCCAAAGACAAGCCGTGGTAAAGATGAGTGAATCCAAAACATTTAAATGCTGAGACTTAGACTGTGTCGCGATGTCGGTACTTTGATAATTTTTTTGGGTGATTCGGTGTTATTTCCATTTTTTTTGCGGTGTTGCGGTATGCTGAACCCCCATGTTCCCCTCTAATAATAATCTTGTTTAATTGTTGCCAATTATAAAAATACTCTTCTAATTCAGAGCCTTCTCATTCCCATTTTGAGGTGGTAAATATCCCATGTACCAACTTTTTTTTTCTAAAGAAAACGACTCACAATTGTGCTTATAAATTACTGTTGACGATTTCTGGAAAAAAATTGATATTTCTGATTCTTTTTGTCCTTTATATCGTT